CCCCCCCCCCCCCCCCCAAAAAAAAAGAAAAGAAAAAAAGTATATATAAATTAAAAAATGAAATTAAAATTAGAAATGTTGCATTGGCAAATAATTTAAATAAAATAGGTAGAATTACTTAAATTACTAAAACTAAAACTGAAGTAAAAATAAAAGCATAACAAATAAATAAAACACATAACAAAATTACTAAAACTTAAACTAATAATACTATAGTAATATAGTAATAGTAATACTAACATACCACTGAACTAGTTTAGAGCAATATGCAGTGATATAAGTAAAAAAAACACACGGTGGAATCAATATGATTTCACCCACCAATGAAGGAAGGCTGGAAGAGAGTCTCTGGGCAACGGAAACGCTCATTTCCTATAGTGATGACCTGACCATCAGGCAACTCGTAAGACTTCTCCAGAGAAGAGGAGGAAGCAGCAGTGGCCATTTCATTCTCAAAGTCCAGAGCGACGTAGCACAGCTTCTCCTTGATGTCACGAACGATCTCACGCTCAGCTGGGAGAATATAATTCCAGTGTTAACAATATATTATTACAATACAGGTTTGATAACTCTAATAATGAGACAGCATAGCTTATTCTTACCTGTGGTCACAAAAGAGTAGCCGCGCTCAGTCAGGATCTTCATCAGGTAGTCGGTAAGGTCACGGCCAGCCAGATCCAGACGCATGATGGCGTGGGGCAGAGCATAACCCTCATAGATGGGCACATTGTGGGTCACACCATCTCCAGAGTCCAGCACAATACCTACAAACAACAAAAATATTTAAAGGCTCCAGAAAAACCTACAAGTGATGAAGTATTTCAATGCGTGTATTAATACTCACCAGTTGTACGTCCAGAAGCGTACAGTGACAACACAGCCTGGATGGCCACATACATGGCGGGAACGTTGAAGGTCTCAAACATGATCTGCACGTTAGAGGATGACAGACATTTGTCAAGTTGTCAAAAATTCAGTTGAATAGAACTTTTCACAATACACATTGTTACAAAGCAGCTTTACAGAAAATCATGTTAATGTTTATAATATCTGAATATCTCCATGTCTTTTTAGCAGATTACAAGCAATACTATACTGTAGTTTACATTTTGCTACGATAAAATCAAACCAGCAGTTGAGATATGCTAAATAGTACATACCACTTGTTCTATGTACTTGTATATACTTAAAGTAGTTATATAATTTGTTATTTATTAGTCATTCGCCAATTAATTTGAACAGTCTTTTGTAGAGTCATGTGGATGTGAAGTATTTGAGGATGTTTAACTAAGTTTACCTGTGTCATCTTCTCTCTGTTGGCCTTGGGGTTAAGAGGAGCTTCAGTGAGCAGGGTGGGATGTTCCTCGGGGGCCACACGCAGCTCATTGTAGAATGTGTGGTGCCAGATCTTCTCCATATCATCCCAGTTGGTGATAATACCGTGCTCAATTGGATATTTCAAAGTAAGGATACCTCTCTTGCTCTGAGCCTCATCACCCACGTAGGAGTCTTTCTGTCCCATACCTACCATGACACCCTGTTAGAGAAGAGACATTGTCAATATTTCAGTACATACTGTGTAATATTCCTCATTCAATCTATAATATAGCCCATTTTTGCATTTAAAAACCATTGTACCTGGTGGCGAGGACGACCAACAATGGAGGGGAAGACAGCACGAGGTGCATCATCTCCAGCAAAGCCAGCCTTCACCAGGCCGGAGCCATTGTCGCACACAAGAGCGGTGGTCTCGTCGTCGTCACACATGGTTTCAGCTGGGAGTCTAAATGAAGAGCAGATCAATGTATGAACATACTGCGAACATCCAAGTCATTATGTATCCATTCCTGACAAGCTCATGTTTTCTCTTCAGAATAGACCACAAAACCATCTGAAATTCTTCTCCAAACTTATTTTAAATAAAATAAAATTCTTTATTGGCATCTATGATTCCACGAAGAAACTTTAACATCAATGGAACCTTTTCCATTGTTCAAAAGGTTCTTTATAGTACAAAAAGGTTC